GATGGTGGAGCCTGCTGAGGCACCACAAGCCTGGGGGTGGGCTCGTGGGGAGGCTGCTGACAGGCGTGCACACAACTCTGATGTCCGCTGTGGGCCTTTTTCTTTAAGGAGTCTTAAAAGGAAATTGCCCCAGGAGAGGTTGAGGTTGTTCCTGAGGAACAATTTCTTGCCCTGGAGGGTTGCCCAGGGCTGTGCCAGGCTGCCCAGGGCAGGGGTGGAGTCCCCACCCCTGGAGGGGTTCCCAAGCCGTGGAGATGTGGGGTGAGGGACACGGGGCAGTGGGGACCTGGCAGGGCTGGGGGGTGGTTGGACTCCAGGAGCTGAAAGGTCTCCTCCAACCTAAACAATTCCATGAAGAAACACACGATGGTGTCTGTCTGCAGCATCCTTCACCCACTGATATCCTGGGGAGCAGAGCAGGGCTGCCTCATGATCTAGAGGAGAGATCTTGACCAGGGCTGAAGCAATGTTTCCTGTTCCACTAAGCTCTGGGAACACTCTGCACTGTCCCAGCAGCAGCAGCTTCCATGTTGCTGCCTCCAGCTGGTGCTCAGGGGGGGTGGGGAATGTTTGAGTGTTAGGTTCAGGTTTGGGAAGGGCTGGAGGGGGCCCAGAGAAGGGCAGTGAAGCTGGGGAGGGTCTGGGGGACATGGATGGTGAGGAGCAGCTGAGGGAGCTGGGGGTGTTTGGTTTGGAGAAGAGGAGGCTGAGGGGAGACCTTCTGGCTCTCAACCGTGCCCTGACAGGAGGTTGGAGTGAGGTGGGGGTCAGGCTCTTCTCTCAGGGAACCAGCAATAGGATGAGAGGCAATGGGCTGAAGTTGCCCCAGGGGAGGTTTGATTGGATCTGAGGCAGAATTTCTCTCCTGGCAGAGTGGTGAGGCCTTGGCCCAGGCTGCCCAGGGAGGTGCTGGAGTCCCCAGCCCTGGAGGGGTCCAAAAAACGTGTGGACGTGGCCCTTGGGGACATGGTTTAGTGGCCATGGGAGTGTTGGGTGATGGTTGGACTTGATCTTGGAAGTCTTTTCCAACCTTAATGACTCCATGATTGCAATTCCCTGACTGGGGCCAGGAGTGAGGAGGTGCCTCCCCTGCAGCCCCTGCTCCAGCTCTCCACAGGGCTGTGAGCCAGCACTCTCCTGCTCTTCAGCTGCCCAGCCTGGCCACGAGATGGGTCTGGGAGCTCACATCAGGTGATTCCCAAGGTGGCTGTTGAGACCCTTCATGGCACTTGTCCTTCAGCCTGGAGAGCCCTGCAGGGCTGAAGTACCCTCCCTGAGCTGCAGCCAGGGCTGCTGCTGCTGTGGGATGTTCTGCAGGGCCTCTTTACACCTGAGAAGATGACATCAGGGTGAACTTCATGGGAGGAGAACACTCAGATACCTCTTGTGGCCATCTCAGGAGAAGGGGAGTGACCAGGAGAGGAGCTGAGGAACACTCAGCTAAGAGGAGATGCCCAGGAGGCATCAGGGCCACGCCGTGGTGGGTTTCCAAGCTGCTGTTGTGACAACCTGGGTGGTTTGTAACCAACCTGGGTGGTTTGTAACCTTGGTGGTGGGGAGGAACTGACTTTGCTCTGCTCTTCCCCCCCCTGGCAGGTGGCAGATTTTGGCCTCAGCAAGGTGTGCCAGGGGAAGGGGAATGTCAACCAGCACCGCTTCTCCTCGGCCTGTGGCTCCAACTTCTACATGGCCCCAGAGGTCTGGGAGGGCCACTACACTGCCAAGGCTGACATCTTTGCCCTGGGGGTCATCTTCTGGGCTATGGTGGAGAGGATCACCTTCCGAGATGGGGACACTGAGAAGGAGCTGCTGGGTGAGGAGCAGATGCTGTCCTGCTGCTGGAGGGCACTCTGGAGCTCTAGGGGTCCTCAGGGCTATAAATCCTGTGGCACAGGTGAATGGTGAAGGTTAGGAAAGACCTCCAAGGTCATCAAGTCCAAGGATTTAGTGTCTGTACCCATCCATCAGCTCAGAAATGCTTTTAGTGCTCTTTGAACCCAAAAACCTTTCTGGACTTGGCCTTTTGGGTCCCTTCAGGTCCTCGACTTGGCAGGACCAAGGGTTGGGATCCCTGGGGGTGCTCCCAGGAGGGGAGGGGGTCTTTAGATAAGCTTGGCTGCTACCTGGCTGAGTTTCCTCCCACTGTGGAGCCCTGAGACCCCTCAGGGGTGACCTGTCTGACCTCCTCTCCCTCTCAAACCCCCCCCCTCTACACGTGCTCAGAAGACTTCATACTAACTGATTTCAGAGAAGTAAATTGCAGTGGAGAAAATCCACCCTGAGGGGAGACAATGCCCATCGTGGCCATTAGCATAACAATGGCAGGTGTCTCCCAGATCTGTCTGGCTGCCTGTTAAAGGTTTCATTTCCCCAAAAAGATTTTCACAGAGGAACTTCAAAACACTACGGTGCTACCCCTTTAATTCTTCCCTTTTTTTTTTCCCCTCCTCCCTCATTTCTAATCCTATTACTTCTTTCTTTTTGAAAAGCCAAACTGCTGCTCAGTGTTTGAGTTCCTGCCTCCAGACAGAAGGCAGCAGGGACAGATCTCATGAAAGCAGCTCCAGATAAGGGCTTGGTGGGGCCAACCCTTTCCAGCCACATTTATTCTGTGCTGTGGGCAGGCAGAGCAGCTGGAGGGAGCAGAACTGCTCTGCCTGCCTCTTTTGGAAGCCAGTTAATCCTTTCCAACGGTGAAATGATTTAGATTACTGGGAGCAAATTTACATTTCCCTCCCCTAATCTTGCTGGGGAGAGCTGGCTGAAGGTAAATGGCAAATGCTGTTGGTTTAATTGAAAATTGTTTGACTAACTGAGCAAATAAGTTTGCTGTTTAACTCTTTCAACTCACCTCAGCCCAACATAATCTCCCTCCCTCCTCTAGAGTTCCTGAGTGGAGTAAAATGGAGGAAGTTGGCCTCAGCAGCCTGTTTTCTCAGCAGAGGGTCCCACAGAGCTGCCTGATGAGCACACTGGGCTTGAGCTTGCTGCCTCTGTTCATGCAGGGTCATCACCCCACCTTGTGCAACCTTTTGATTGCTCTCTGAAAGCAAAAGCCTCTTTTGATCACAGCCTCTCCCAATATTTGACTTGGCAGTCACCTCTTCATGTCTGAGAGTTAACCAGAAAGATTTTGGTTCCCAGATTCTCAGACTCCCAGCGTGGTGGGGTTGGGAGGGACCTCTGGGGATCATCTCATCCCACCCCTGCTCCAGCAGCTCACCCCCAGCAGGGTGCCCAGGGGCACAGCCAGGAGGGTTTGGGATCTCTCCAGAGCAGGAGACTCCACAGCCTCTCTGGGCAGCCTGGGCCAGGCTCTGCCACCCTCCCAGCAGAGAAGTTTCTCCTCCTGCTCAGGTGGCACCTCCTGGGTTCCAGTTGGTGCCCGTTGCCCCTTGTCCTGTCCCTGGGCACCACTGAGCAGAGTCTGGCCCCAGCCTCTTGAGCCCCTCCTGACTTCACCTGTATAACCCAACTCCTTCTAACCCCTGCTCAGGAACCTACATCTGCCAAGGCAAGGAGCTCATTCCCCTGGGAGAGGCGTTGCTGGAGAACCCCAACCTGAAGCTGCAGATCCCCCTGAGGAAGAAGAAGTCCCTGCCAGGGGACCTGTGTGAGCTGCTGCGGGCCATGCTGGCCTTCCCCCCGGGGCAGAGGCTGGATGCCCCCCAGCTGGAGGCCCGTGTGCCCCACCTCTCCTATGGCAGGGAGTGCCCCAGGCCCTAGGGCAGGGCCCTCAGGTCAGTGACTGCCCCTCACCCCCTTCACTCTCAGCTCAGGGGGGGAGGTTCTCTTGCTGACCTCCAGGCTGGAGGCCTCCAAATCCAACGTGGCCTCTGGGAAGATTCAGTGAGAGAAAGAGGCTGCTGAGCTAAGAGAGGGGAAAAGGCTTTGCTAAGATGTTGGGGGAGAGGGATTTCCTGGAAGTCTGTGAAATCTTTGCCTCCTTCATGGTGTTTCTTCAGAAAATTGGTTCTATCTGAGCCAGCCTGGCCTTCACCCTAAACCTCAGCTCTTCCCACAGGCCCCATTTCTGCCAGTGCTCCAGCACTGGTTGTTTCTATGATATATTGGCTAGTTTTGGGTGAGGAGGAACCTTTCAACCCCCCTGCAGGGAGCAGGGACATCTGCAGCTAGAGCAGGGTGCTCAGAGCTCATCCAACCTCCCCTGGGATGGTGCCAGGGATGGGGCAGCGACCACCTCTCTGGGCAGCCTGGGCCAGGGGCTCAACACCCTCAGCAGCAACAATTTCTTCCTTCTCTCCAGTCTCAATCTCCCTCTTGGAGTTTCCAACCATCACCCAATCCCTGGGAGTTCTTGATGGCCTCCTCAGTGCTTGTCATGATGGAAGTTTGAACACCCAAGGCAAAGCTCCATCTGCTCTGTCAGCCTCCATGTCTTTCAGCAGAGCAATGGGAACACACAAGGGAGTTTCCAGGATTTTCAGGTCATCTTCTGCCATCATGAGCTTCAGATCCTGGAATTTATTTCTAGAAATCAAGGTTTTTGTGTTGGTGCTGTCACTGGGCAGCTGGCTTTCCTCATAGCTATGGATCTTGTCCTTTGCCACCCAGATACATTTCTGATCAGTAAAATAATCTTGTGACAGATTTAGCTGAAAATGTTCTCTCCCTTCCCAGGTGTTTGCCCATTCTGGGCTATTTTAGAGAACAACCTCAGTGTTTGTTCCAGTTGGTTGGTTCCATTGAGGTGGGCTCCTCATCTCCAAATAACTTCTTCACTAGACAAGTCTCTTCAAACCCTTGTAAAGCATTCACTCCCTAGCCTGCAAATGCTCCTGATGTGTTCCACCACCACATCTGTCTCCTTTCATACCTCTATCACTGAATCCTCTCATAATTTGTGTCCTCAAGCCCCTTTTTGAGTGGACTTGCTCCAAATCAATAACACTCTGGGTTCCTGCAGCTCCTCTTCTTCACAGGTGCCTGACCTGAGATTTTCTATTAGACTTTCATCCTCTGCTGGAGGAAACAGGGAGTGACTCTGAACATTTCCTCAGCCCTTTTTCATAACCATCATACTCTGTGTCTTCAACAGGCTTCTAATTGTGCCAAGGCAAGTGAAAACATTAATTAAACAAGTCTGTTGCCAGCACCAGGCTTGATAAAACTCCACTCTGCCTTCATTTCCAAATGATCCACTTCACTCTTCCCTCAGGGCAGCCTGACATCTCCCTTCTCACTCATCCCCCTCCATTTTGGGTGCTGCTCTAGCCAATGCTTTACTGAAATCTCAGTGGACAAGACCAAGGCTGGTTTTTTATCTCAAAAAAAAAAGCAGATTTCCTGCTAAATCCCCTCAGTTTGGTAGGACCTGCAGCCTGGCCAGGGCAATGGACTCCAGTGTATGGCAGCCAAACCTGGATCTCCTCAGAACCCTGCAGAAAACATCTAAATGAGGTTTCTTTCACAAATTTCAAGGCAGACCATGGATAGAGCCTTCAAGTGATAGGGATATAACCATATGAGGGGACACAGGAAGTCCTTAAATTAAACCTTGCTCAGGACAGAACCCCAGATCCCAGCATGG